GATTAGGGATATTGAGCATTTTTTCATATGCTTCTTGGCTGTGTGTCTTCTTTTGAAAAATGACTATTCATGTCTTTTGCACATTTTTAATGGAGTTTTTTGTTATGTGGTATTGTTGTTGATTTCTTTGTAAATTTTCGATATTAGTCCCCTCTAGGATGAATAGTTTGCAAATATTTTCCCTCATTCTGCAGGCTGTTTGCTCCGTTGATTACTTCTTTTGCTGTGCAGAAGTTTTTGCTTAATAATTAAGTCCCATTCGTCTATTCCTGGTTTTGTTGCTTTTGCTTTTGAGGTCTTAGTCATGAATTCTTTGCCTAGACCAATGTCCAGAAGAGTTTCATCAAAGTTTTCTTCTAGTATTTTTCAGGTCTTACCCATAAGTCTTTAATCCACCTGAGTTAATTTTTGTAGATGGTGGGAGACAGGATTCCAGTTTCATTCTCCTGCATATGGCAATCCACTTTTCCCAGCATCACTGTACCCATCATCTGGATTCTCTATTCTTTTCCACTCATCTATTCATGTATTTTTATACCAGTACCATGCTACTTTGGTTACAGTAACCTTGTAATATAATTTAAAGTCACATAAGATGCCTCCAGCTTTGTTCTTTTTGCTTAGGACTGCTTTGGCTATTTGGGCTTTTTGGTGCTTTTTCTTATTTTGAGAGGCATCATTATGAACTAATTTGTTTCAGTTATTGCTCTTTTTAAGGCTCAAAGGTACCCATTTTGAGGCGGTGGGAGTCCCCTTCAGGTCGGCTCTTGGACCCTTTTGGTACAACTCCAACAGTCTTTGATAGCTTCTTTGTGTTCCACTATCAAACAAGGTTCCAGACTCGCAATCATCCATTTCCCTAAGAAGCCTTGATCTTTTCAGTGGAAAATGGCATTTTAAAGACCAAAACCTAGGAGTTATAGATATACATTTGCTATTGACTTACTACTGCTTCTAGGCCCTTTCAGTGCACAAAGCTAGGAAATAGAAAAAAAATCTAATCGTGCATTCATGCTGATTTTTTTCATTTCAAATCAACTACCAAGTTTTACTGAGCTTCTTAAATCTTGTTTTTGTTTATTTCTTTGAGACAGGGTCTCACTCTGTTGCCCAGGCTGAAGTGCAGAGGTGTGATGTCAGCCTCTACCTCCCAAGCTCGAGCCATCCTCCCACCTCAGCCTCCCAAGTAGCTGGGACTACAGGCGCATACCACTATGCCCAGCTAGTGTTCGAATGTGTTTTTTATTTTATTTTATTTTAGCAGAGATGGGGTTTCACTATGTTTCCCAGTCTGGTCTCAAACTCCTAGGCTCAAACAATCCTCCTGCCTCAGCCTCCTAAAGTACTGGGATTACAGGCATGAGCCACTGTGCCCGGCCTTAGATGTTATTTGTATCTCTTTTTACTTATGCTGAAAACTACAGTTTCTAATAATATTATTTGTTTTACCCAACTATATATAGGAATTTCAACATAATAATATCAATATTTTTACTAAATATAAGACTACCAAGTGCAGGTTAACATATCTTTGTAATTATTTTTGTCTCTACGCTATATCCCACTAGAGATGCAGAGTCAATAATACTGTTTTAAAATTACTTAAAACAATACTTCTCTGTGTAGTTTTGCCATCACCTAGATATATACCTAGGTTCATTTCTTTCTAGGTGCTTTTGCATTTTACAGATAGTTTGTGTATTTGTTTTAAGATTTAATTTCTAAAATATTTATATTGGCCAGGTGTCGTGGCTCACGCCTGTAATCTCAGCACTTTTGGGAGGCCGAGGAGGGTGGATCATTTGTCAGGGGTTCAAGACCAGCTTGGCCAACATGGTGAAACCCTGTCTTTACTAAAAATACAGGAAAAAAAAAAAAAATGAGCCAGGCGTGGTGGTGCGCACCTGTAATCCCAGCTACTCGGGGGGCTGAGGCATGAGAATTTCTTGAACCCAGAAGGCAGAGGTTGCAGTGAGACGAGATTGTGCCACTGCACTCCAGCCTGGGTGACAGAGTGAGACCCTGTCTCAAAAAATAAAAATAAAAAAAAATTTATATGGTTCTAAATTCAGAATTATAAAAACAAGGTACAATCAGAAGAACTATTTGCCATCTCTTTGCCTTTTCCTTCCCTTCTCCTATAGGTAACCATTTTCATTCGTGTTTAGTTCATCCTCCCATTATTTCTTTTTGAAAATATAAACAAGCATATGGAGAAAATGGTATTTTAAGGACCATAATTTGGGCACTATAGATATTCAATGCTATTGACTGTTTATGTATTTGTGTATATATACAATATTTATATCTACCCTTCCTTTCTTCCTAAAAGTTAGTGTATTTTATATATATATTCTTACGCAGCATGCTTTTAACAGAAAGGTAAATTTTGAAAGTACCCTGAAGCAGTATAACAAAATCTTCATTATTTTTTATAATTGCAAAATGCTTCCCTTTGAATGTTTCATTATTTACTCAGCCAGTTCTATGCTGAAGGACTTTTGTGTTTCCAGTGTATTGTTTTTACAAAGAGTGCTATAAAAAGTAGGTGTGCAAAGGAGTTATTTCTCATTTTGAGTACAGATTCCAGGAAGTAGAACTATTAAAACAAAGAATAAATATAAATGTGATTGCCCGGGCGTGGTGGCTCCATCTATAATCCCAGAACTTTGGGAGGCTGAGGCAGGTGGATCACCTGAGGTCAGGAGTTCGAGACTAGCCTGGCAAACATGGTAAAACCCCAT